ACGTCTGCAAGTGCTAGAGAAAGAGTGAAGGGAAAGTGGGAGAGAAAGAAGGGCAAAAGGAAAACAACACTGAGGCAGATGCAAGGTAAAGACACAAAAAAATATACTGAACCACACAGATAGACACACACACCCTTCTCCTCCTTCATTCTTGTTAAAGCGTTAATATCTATCTATCTATCTATCTAAATAAATGCATATTCTTGCAGAGAATGTTAAGTTTCTCCGATCAGACTCACCCGCTCTCCAGACCGCGGCCTCTTCTTTGGCCGTGTAGGCAAAGCATCCTCTTTTGGGTTGGTGTCGATGGCCCAGTAAGAGCCCTGCAGACAGAAGAAAAGCCTGTGAGATGATAAAACAGACTGCTTTCTCACATGATACCCCAGAAATTCCCCTGCATTCATTGCTGAATGGTTACAGAGCACGCAACTTTGATGGTTTGAGTATGGCTTGGGACTCTTGTCACACATCACCCCAGAATTTCATGTCATTCCCATCTTTACAACCCGCCTCTTAAATGTCAAATATCCATTAAAGTCAGGAAAAAAGTCAAATTAAAAACGGGAAAAAAGGAAAACAAACAAACGAAAGAAAAAACAAATCAGGATTAAGACATTTCCACTCTGATATCACAAACATTTTTGGCACTGAAATATACCTGCATATTCAGAACTCTTGGGCCTCATACGCTCTGTTAAAATCTGTCCTATCAGCCCGAGCCTTTATTTGAGTTGATAGCTATGTGTTAAGAGTTTGAGTGGTGTGTGGGTGGGCTTTGTTAGCAAGAAAGCCTTGGCTTTTCCTCCTCTGAGGCTGCTCCTCAATGAGAGGCTGGTGAGGGCAGCTGGTGGTGGTGAAATGCTAAGCCTTTCCTGAAGCTGTACTTCCTCAGCCTCAGGTAGTGAAGTCAGAGCGCTGCTGCCAAGGATGAAGGATCCTGCCTCAGCCCGGGAATGGAGGCAGCGCTAGCCCTGCCGTGTTGCTTTCTTCTAAGGTCTACAAAAGGCTAATCGAGGAGAGAACAGTTGGGGCTGGCTCTGGGGCTGCAGCTCGTAATTCCACAACCAGGCTGCATTATTTATCTTTGCATTCGCCCCATTTAATTTATTTTTCAATGGTGTGCCTCCTCGAAGCCAACAGCAACGCTGCTTGCAGTTGTTAAAAATGAGATTTTTACCCTAAGGCCCCGCGAGTTCTGAATTTGTTTTTAATATTTCATATGACCCCCGATAAAATCTCAATTGTCAAGAGAAAGTGAGATCAGGACCTTTAAAATTACTTCCTTAGCAGAGAGAATAATTGATATTTCTATAAGAAATTCTCTGGAACAACTGTATTTCAAGTATCTATACAATAATGCAGCATACACAATAGCCTGCTCTTGTTAAATTTAGCAAATCTGCCATTTTTGCATAAATCGCTGCTGCGACTGTTAAAATAAAAATCCAGGCTTGGTCTATATTCATCAGGGGTTAAAATTATAACTCTTCATATGAGTGTGAGGCTTTGGGGTCAATTAGTATTTTCCTGGGGGGGATTCACAGCACAATCAGCACAAGATACAGGCTGCTTTAAAAAAAAACAAAAACAAAACAAAACCCTTGTTATATGCAAAGATGAGAGAGTCTCTAAACGTAACTGCTCTCTTTCTGAGAGCTGAAATGGGCAGGTACAGATGTTTCAAAATTAAGTGTCACACAAAGAAAGCCAAGCTCTGTGGTGTTTCTCTTAATTAGGGGGGGAACAACACTTTAAGTTAACCCTCATGGGAGGGGAGTTTTTGCATTTTCCAACACCCACCCCCAGAGACTTGGCAGCAAAAAAGAAAAAAGCATATAAAGAGTCATTAAATTATTCACAAATATACAGCACAAAAAAAGAAAGAAAGAAAGAAAGAAAAAGGAAAAATGTAGCAATGCCAAGTGAAGTGTATCCTTGGAGTCTGGGGCAACAACAGAGGAAAGCCACACTATTTCTGCAGCAATAAAACAAAGGCAGCTGTAAAGATTTTTTTCAAGATCCTGATAACACAGGTACACTACCTGTTCTCTTCCCCTCAATGACGCAGCTTATTTTCATACATCACCATAAATTATGTCACCTGCTTCCCCTTTCATACAGGAAAGACAAACAAAGAAAGTACAGCGGCGATCCTTGCAACTCCAGGCCGAGACATAAGACCAATTAAAAGGAAGACTACTAACAGCAGCCTTCACAGGCTACATTTCTACCTCTGAGGTAGACACAGTGTGTGTGTATGTGCGCGCGCATGTGTGTGCACATGTACAACAACAACAACTGTCATCTCTTACACCATCTCAGAGACAGACACAGAGCGACATGACTCTCCTATCTCATCCAACCAGCAGTTCTCATATTCCTGCCACATTACAATATTGATGCAACATATCAAGAGCGGCTAGCGCCCCTTTGAAGTTGTCTTCGGGGGGAAGGGAGTGAGGAAAATTCCAAATTAAACATTAAGGATGCGAGCATGTTGGCCATGCATTTGGAATGGGATCCATACAGCAATAGATTATTTTGTATTTAGTGGAGCAGCTCCCAGGAGTGTCAATATCAGAGGATTACAGCAAAACATGAAATTAGCATTCAGTCCCCATCCTCTACACAGCTAGGCGTAGCTCTTCATGTGCGTGTGTGTGTGTGTGTGTGTGTGTGTGTGTGTGTGTGTGTGTGTGTGTGTGTGTGTGTGTGTGTGTGTAATTATTTGTGTGGTTCTTTAAGCATATGTACCGCACGCTCTGACATTTCCAGGATGATCTAGGTTATACCACATATGGCTACACCTATGCTCACCATCACATACATTTTGGCCTAAAGGCTCGCTATTCATGAACAACAAAGTTTATTAGCAATTGCTTCATATCAGGTTGATGTTGCGAGAGATAGATTGTGAAGAGAAGGAAGTTGAAAGTGCAGGTGGTCCTTTTATGAATAAAATGTCAGATTAACCTGGAATAAATCTTGCAGAAAACAAAAGCGAAAGGCAGAGGCCTGATTTAGTTCTTGTTTTTTCTCTCAGTAGGTTCAGCTTCACTTGGAGTAAATACTTGATGGATGGCAGATTCTGGGAATGACCTAACTTGTACCCTGTTATGGCCCCATCTCTACCAGTCTGGCTTCTTCTCCTCACCCACATCTGTTGTCTGTGCCAGCACACAAAAAAGAAGAAGTAGGAAAAAAAAGAAAAGAAAAAACTAGCCTCCCCTTATATTTGAAATGCAGTTATGTGGGGGTGGGAGGTTCATAATAGATTACGAGCATTCCATGCATTTCCAGACTGTCAAGAGTCCTGGCAGGAATTCAAAGGTAATATTTTTCTGCCAGAGATAGCACGATACACAACAGAAAAATGCTGTAATAGTGAGTTCTGCGAACTTAGGGTACTTGCTTAAAATTTTAAATATTGCATTTATTTGGCTTGCAATTACATGCAACCATAGGTGTCTGCAATTACCAGTTGATGTTTTTAAGTCTCACCTTTCCTGGGTCATCTTTGGAGCGAGGCACTTTGAGAAAACACTTGTTCAATGACAGATTGTGCCGTATTGAGTTCTGTGGGGGGAAGCAGAGAGAGAGAAAAAATGTGAGGTGAGTTAACATATCAAAAATAAAGAAATAAAAAATACAAATAGAAATCAGATCACATTAACAAGTCTGAAATATCTAAATGTGAGCAATATCACTTGTAGCGGCAAAAAGCAACTTGTTATGAACCATTTAGGTTTAGTCACCGCTCCTGCTGCTGTTTCAAAGCCATTAGATCTGGCTCACAACCATGTCTGGATTCATGTGCAGGAGATCAAATTTATGTACAATACCACCAGGACATACTATCTTTCATCACTGTCCAACAAACTGCATTATGGTTGCACAACATATCAAATTCCACCGGCGCCAAAAATAGGAGCCAGAAGGAATCCCACACTGGGATGGTTGCTGATAGCGGTGCCTGATATTAATTAATGCTTCAGCGGGCTCCTGTGGGGGCAGGAAATAAATTATGTAGATCATTCTGAAAGTTAACTCATTACAGTGTTACAAGCTACTCCACAGTGGTGAAGAGGGAGGTTCATCCAGCTGCCTGATAGGGGAGGCGAGGTGGGCTGAAGTAGCCACAAGGGCTAGAGAGCGATGCTCCAGGCCTGGGTTAACCACCAGCAGTAAGGCCCTCACATCCAGCTGGAGCCAAACCAGCTGAGGGCTTATAAGAGCCAATGGATGCACACGTTGCTCCACTCCACTTTATGGAGTGGTATTGACAGATGGTCACACTAAAAAGCTGTAGGATTCTCTGATGAGTTTAGTGGATGCAGGAGATAAGCTGAGAGGGGGCACAGGCAGAGAGAGAGTGAAAGACCCCTAAATGCAAAAGATAGGAGCTGCTTGTTCAACACCAAAGGCAATTATACCACAGGAGGGATGATAATGGCAGGCTGGTCGTAATGCTGCCAA